AAAACCAAAATGACGTTTACGTCCAAGTAATTTAAAATATAATTTGCACAACACTATCACCACAACACTATCTTCTCTTATAAACCCATATCTCCAGCTATTCGAAGGTGCAAAACGATACAGTGGAAATTTTTGAATTTAAAAAATGGAGGTCGCAAAGATGATAAAATCTTGCGACATTCAGAAGAACGTCAACAGGACGGTAAAAGATGGACTCAGAGCCATCGAAGTCCTGTTGAAAGAGGTAAAAGTAAAGCATGTTGCAGCCGATGAGTCGGACTTCGATTTAGCATGCGTTCTCAGCGGTGCGGAGTGTAACCGCAAGGACCGTAAGAAAAAGAGAGAGCGTTCCTATAAGCGTAATCTCAAAAGCGTTCTAAGAAATGATCAAAAACGAAAGCGAGTGGGTGACAGTCCAGGGGAGACTCGAACCCAAAACGATAAGAGGAAAAAGGAGGAAGCTCCTCCAATGGAAACGTAAGTACCAGATCCAAAGATTCCTCAAATCGAAAGAATGGGGTCAAAAAGATCCGCAGTTCTAATCCGAGTCGGTCAAGGATTAACGTATGCTGACGTTCTGGGTAAACTTCGCAAAGAGATCAAACCGGACGACTGCCATACGAGAATAGTAGCAGCAAAAGCTAAAAAGAAGGGAGACCTTCTGATTAAGATCAGAGGAGGCTCCGACAAGGGCGCTTTCACCGCTGAGGTCACCAAAGCGGTTGGAAGCATGGGTAAGGTGCAGTCGTTGGATCGAAGAGTTACACTCGAGATCCGTGATTTGGATTGCCTTACCCAAGAAGCCGAGGTGCAATAAGTGTTGTCGGAAGCGATATTTTTGTTGCTTAATTAAAAAAAGAGTATTGGTCATCCGGTGTCATCGATGCTTGGGATTCGGTCATATTGGAGCGAAATGCCAGAAGGTGGACAGATCGGCTGCGTGCTTTAAGTGCAGTGAAGCCGGTCACAGGTTCTCCAAGTGAAAGAAGGGCCCAAATTGCTTTTTATGCAAGGAAAAGTTTGGCAATAAGGTGTCAACCACCCATATTGCAGGCAGCGGAGGATGCCGAGTCTTCAGGACGGCCCTTGAGGAGGCGAAGAAGACTCTCGCAAGAACTAAAAGCAAATAAGAAGTAATGAAAGGAGCTAATAATTTATTTTATTTATTTAAATTATTTATTTATTTTTTCGTAGTTTTTTAATGTCTTTTTGCATTTTTATTCTTCTAACTTTTATATATTTGTTTATTTATTCTTTTATTTGATTTATTTGTGTTTTTATTTAACTTGTCCTTTTACAATTTTACCTTTTGACCTTAATACATATATGTTTAATTGATTCATTTATGTTTTTTATGTCCGTTTACAATTTTGTCTTTTAACTTTTAACACTTTTTAACATTTGTTCCTTTATTCTTCTACATTAAAATAGTTTTAAATTTTAACTATTGACGCAGGAGAACCGCAGGAAAAGAACAAAGTCGCAATAGCGACAGAGTTGGAGCGCCGCCTTTGAAGGCTAAAGTCTTACGACAGTTCCGAAGGTGGGTAAAGGGCTTCAAAAGAAGGGTTGCGGGTTTCAGTAAGTCGGGGTTGTCAGAAGGTCGCCAGCTTGTTAAACAATTATGATTTTATTTATTTTGTTTTTTTTATTTTTTATACCAACCCCACATAACCTTGGACGGCGGAATCCAAGGTATCTGTAGGCAGATTTCCCAAAATTCCCTAAGCAAAGAAAAAAAAGAGCTGGTAATAATATATTTTTTAAAAATTAAATTTGACCTTTTTTCCTATAAAATATGTAAAATTCAGAGTGGGACCATTGATAGATTTTAAAAAATAAGTAATTAAAGAACACTATGTACTCCAATACTGTATACTAATATTAATGCTAGAGGACACAAAAAAGTTAATTATATATTTATCTATAAAGCCGTTTAACGATCTGATTTACTTGCACACAATACTTTTGATGAATCATTAACTTCAAAGCTCTCTGAAACTTCCTTAAATATGTCCTCCCTAAGTTCACCATACAGGAAGGCTGTTTTTACATCGAATTGTATCAATTCAAGATCCTTTTCTGCAACCATAGCCAAAGCAATCGTAGTAAGTCATATCGCACTCCAGGTGCGTACGTCTTGGTGTAATCTAGTCCTTGTTACCTCATGAAACTACGTGCACACAATCTTCTCTCGTATAGAGTTGAAAATTTGTTTCAAGATCTTCTTTGATTTTGAATGTCCACTTTGAATCTATAGTTTTCATATCTGAAGTTCGTGGAACGATTGACTAAGTGGTGTTGACTTTCTGAGTCTACAACTTTTCTTTCATGGTATGTTTTCACTGGGCGGCATCATCTTCTTGAATTGCCTCTTCGTAAGTTTCCTTGTATCTGTATTCGGCTACATCAGCTTCATACCTAGCTGATGATAGGTTTTAAGGAAAAGTAACTGTTAAATTGAAGTTGAATTACTAAAGTTTTTATTTGAATCCTTAACAATTAGAATCAGAGAAAAAGAGTAGATCCAGATGTATTTAGGGACACTGAAACAAAATTAGAACTTTGTGGAATCAATGGAGAATTTAAATAAGGGCAAAATTCAAAAGTATTAGTTACTTACCTTTTAAAATTATTCTTAGAGTCGTAGACCCTACAAGCGATACCTTGTTCTGTATGAAGCCGAAGAAATGACGTTGTCCAGCAAAAACACAGAATGCAGTAGATTTTCCTCGAATTGTTTTCAGGCCAGACAAAGTGAATGGTCCGGAATCCAGATGTCGATATAAATTAGATGTACACCCATCAGATTAGGAGTGACCAAATTATTGATTTAACGTTGATGTCGAGGACTCGAAGAAGACACTTTGTACTTGAAGAGATTTTCTGGGCTGGAGTTAAAGAAGAAACTTGGTGATAGTACACAACTAGTTAACTTGGTTGCGGTTGCTGGACTGACACGAAGAACGCAAATATCTGATTAGAGGGTGATTTCTAGATTGATACAAAGAAAAAAGTAGTTTATTCGTCGGCGATTTCTGGACTAGTTAAGTTAAAGGCGTGTCCTAGACTGATACGAAGAAGACACTTGGGGAAGTACACGACTACTTAACTTGGTGGCGATTCCTGGACTGACGAATTCGGTAAGGGTGGCACATTTTATAGTATGCTTCTAAAGGAGCCAATGATAATGCCAATGATAAAGCTAATGATAATGCCACCCACTTTTATTACTTCTAGTTCAGATTTTTCTATTGATTAATTTAGGCGCATGTGCTTGGTCCCTGTATTAGGCAGGTGAGTAACCTTAAGGAGGGTGACAATCGTTGATGATCATATAATTATGGTATGTGCTGCTCAGGTGTCAGACAATTGGGTCGATTTGTTTGAGTTACAAGAAAAAAAGGATTCATATTTTAACTTTACAAAATATCAAAATATAAATACGTCTTAATGACTTGACATCTCATTTCTTCACGAATTAACCTTTTCTCCAAGTGAGACAAAGTCTGATGTGCTTGATCGACATTGGCCCTCGCAGTTTAAAACGTGCTAAACTTTAACGATAGACTCCCAAGGATTTTCGCGATCACAGTTATTTCGGAAACATTTTCACGAACATTTTCAATCTGTGCGACCATATTCCGAACTTTCGCGATATGTTGGACAATTGAATCATTCGAAGTCCCTACTCATGGAATCTCTGTAACAATATAAGTTTGTTTGCAGAAGGAAGGTTTAATTTAACGATAATACTCTAATTATTTAGCTTTATTTTAAAAGTAATACTACTAAAATTTGCACTACATTTAATAATGAGAAAAATGTCTTATGTTTTTTATAAACATCATTCACGCGTGGATCAATGTTTGGCCTTTTACACTACAAAAAAGTTTTACATAGATACATTTTATCAGGGTCTTTTCATAGTGAAGTAGACTAAATGTAAACCCATTTCTGATAAAATATGAGTAAAACTTCTTCGTTGTGTAAACGGATAAATACAAATCCACGTACACAAGAGTTTGTATTATATTACAGAACCTGAAAACTTGCCTCTCAACCATTACTACTCTCGTGTTACAAACATTTATCAAGCTTGTAAGAGGAAAAAATATTTTTAAAAAAATTTTACTTTTTACATAATTATTATCATGTACTACAAGAATGACAAGTTTGAGAATTTTTAGTCAAGCTAAAGCGATAAGAATTAAGCTTGCAAGAATATTAAGTTATTTTCATTAAAAATCAAATGTAACTCTCTAATAAATCTGAAATAGCGATAAATATACCACTGATTCCAATTAGCGTATATACGCTGTGAATTTGTAAAATTTCGCTAAATAATCAGTGCAATTTCACTGTTTAATTAGCGTATATACGCTTCTTAGAATTAGTGGTATACTTATCGCTGTGAATTAGTAAAATTTAGCTAATTCTGATTAAGAGAGTGTTTACCAATTAAAATTTCAGTTACGCGAAAGGCTCGTGTTAATGTTCTTTGAGTTTGTTCAAACTTTCAGGAAAATTTTTGTTTAGTATCTTGATTAATAATTTTCTGGGTAGAGAGCGAAGATTTATAAACATGGCCTTTAATGCATTATAGTTGTGTTTGTGAAAACCTATAATTATGGACAATTATTTTCATCTCTCTCTAAACCTTGTTGACTCCGGTAACTTTCATCCCTTTTTTAGTTAAACATCCTATTCTTTATACGAAACTTGCTAGTTTTAACAGTGTCGATATTAAAATTTGCTTTTCTCTATTTAGGCTTTTATAAGGCACTTAATTATATTTTAGAAAAATTAAAAAATTTAATTACATATTTCACAGTCATAACGTTTATTATAAATATTGACTTCATGTAACATGACTGTAGTTATCATATAATAATAAATTATTCAATTTCTACATTGTATTATGTTCTGTGTGAGCAGTCCAAAGTTTCTAAAAATAATGTTTATTATTTGTTGAAGACATTTTATTACTTTAATTACAGGTTCCGCGAGGTCCTCACAGGCCAGGAAAAGGAGCTTATTGGGCCCTACATCCCGCAGCCCTTTCTATGTTTGAAAATGGATCTCTTCTTCGACGACGGAAACGTTTTAAGCTTCATAAGCCAGATAAAGAACTTTTAAAATCAGAACTGCAAGCCCTTGCTTCTGCTATGCCGCCACCACGACCAGAACCTGCTAGTTCAACAAGTCCTAGTGAAACAAGTAATGGACTTAGTGTAGCGAATCTTCATCGACTAAGGGAGGATCTTCTCAGGTAAATATTAATTAAATACATCAGGAAGTATCGAATTTTTTGGGTCGATTGAAGTCAACATCTTTGGGGAAGTTAATTTTAAATGTCAAAAAAAAGAAAATGCACCAGGAAATAACGAAGTTTTCGTGAAGATTCAAGTCATTTTACCCAACACCTTGTAAGGTCAAGTGGTCATCCTGACCTAAAAATCTTATGTTCTAGAAACGTTTTTAGATCATAAAACGTTAATAGTACGTTATATGTCAGACATCGAACGATTTAGGAACGTTCGTAGAACGTAAATGTTAATTTTGCCCAACTGGGTTGGTGCTAAAACTACTTAGGTCAGAATGACAACTTGACCTTTGAATGTGATGACGATGGGAATTTTTATTCAAGAAAAAAATTCCTGTTAAAATGGTAGGAAATTCAACTAGTTTTTTAAATTTACTTGACCCAGAAACTTCGTTATTTCCATAGATCCAAAAAATTCGATACTTCCTGATCTATTTTTAAGGTCAACTTCCTTGACGAATATGACTTGATTAACTGTAACTTCTGGTGAAATTCTGGTGTATTGTTTTCACTATTTCAGCTGAATGTTCATAAAGATGTTGATCTACATTGTCTAGGAAAATTAGTGACTTTCTGGTGTTATATTTTCGCTACTTCCCGAAGATTTTGTCCGCTTAAATACGAATATTACTTAAAATAAATTGAATTTGATGTACAAAGCATCCATAGACGCTTTTTTTTGTAGGAAATAATTACAACTTTCTAAAAATGATTCTGATTTTGTATTCTTTTTGTTATTGAAAACTAATAGCTACAAAGTGTTTCACGTTAAATTTGTATTTACTATAACTTTGTCGTAATTAAAATGACATCTCTAATTATATTAAGTTACTTCCTTCGTTTCGTTCTTCGTACATCGTTCAATCATGGTTACACACATTATATTCAAACATACACATATACACTAACTCAAATATCCAAATTATATACTTACACATATGCACAAAACACAAATGACTTCTCTTATTATATTAAGCTGCGTATTTCGTTCCGTTCGTCGTTCATGCACGTGCACATATAAAGTTACACATATATACAAAACACATACACATTTATATTATTGGAATGAGGACATTAGGTCGAAAACGTTAAGAAACACATTAAAAATAACTTCTTAAATTTGTTTAAACAATTTTTTTTGCTTATTTATAATTTTTAGTCTTTAAAAAAAATTTTTTTTTGCAGTTCAATAAATAAAATTATTATTGATTTTAATTAAGTATCTGATATATGGAAACAAAAATTATCAACCGTTTTTACCTTCTTAAACTACTCTTGTAAACTCTGGGGTCCTGAAAATATTTCGACAGCTAATATCAAGGAATATATTTCTAACAATCAATTGTTGTAATTATTTTTAAAACACATTATTTAAAAATCCAATGACATATTAAAAGTCTGTAGAAAGTCCAATACGTTCGATTGAAAATAGCGTTAAAATGAATGAAAAACCGTTTTAATTGTAATGAAACTATGATCGTCTATGAATAAAAAGAATAAATAAATTGTAGACAGAACATAATTGAGAGGAAAGTGGATTTTTTTTAAACTTAAAAGGTAAGGTTATTTAGCAAATGTATTTATTCGTTGGGTATATTATTTAGTAGTATTATGCCAACTGTTTTACCGACAATGGATATTAAGTTATTGATAATCCTCCCGCGGAAATTGTGCGACCGCTAACACCTCGAGCTATTAAATTCCATTGGAAAGTTTATTAAATTTCCGATAGAATGACACTATTTTCATTTGTATTGCATAAATGGGAAGCGAGATATCATGTTGTAAACACAAAAAAATAATTCTATTTTGTTTTTAATTTCTTACCCTGACTTGGACTTATAGAAAAATTTATAAAAGTTGATGAAAAAAATTGTTGCTTTTACAGACTATTCTTTGTAAGCTATGTCTTAAATAGAGACTAAGAACAGCAAAAAATATTAACGGGTTTTTGAGATATTACAAAAATGTCGTACCGTGCGAAGCAAAATTTTCAACCGTCGACTCCTCTAATTCTCTGTTGAGTCACTTGCGTGGCTGTAAATATACTGCAGTAAGAAGGTTAGGTTCGGAGATATTCAGTCGGTAAAACAGTTTTGTTGCTTAGGTAGGTAGTCAAAAGTCCCACTTGCCAGTGTGAAGATTTTGTCGACATAGCTATATTGAATTTAAAGTTGGTATCCATTGACGGTAAAAAATATAGTATACTTACCCGACGAATAATTCTTCAATAGTAAAACATTCACTAAATAACCTAACATTTTCATTTTTTAAAAAGTTTCATATTCCTCTTAATGTTGGTCTGTTTATAATTTATTTAACCTTTTTATTCACAGACGAGCAGTTTTCTTACAATTAAAACGATTTTTCATTCATTTTAACGCTATTTTCAGTCGAACATATTGGACTTTCTACAGACAATGGATACGACCTAACACTCCAATATGTTAAAATTCAAATAACGGATTCAACATACCCAGCTTTAATACTTTTTCCCGATTTTCGCTATTCAACTTCTTTTACAGGGGTGTCGAAGGGATGGAACTGTACCCATTGTACCAAACTTCAGTTTGCTCGTTTTAATGCAACTTACTTAAAGTTTTGTTCTCCTCCAGAAGACCAGTTACTTTTCTATCGATAAATTACACACCTGCTCAGGGTCAATGATTGCTTGGCCCCAGCAATAATGTCTGATCCTAGCCAACGCTGGCTATTCAGATAATATGCGATCTGCTGTTTTATTGCATATCTCACACAATCTGCACATAGGTGAATCATGTCTACATGTTTTGTTCTGATGGTAATTTAATAGACCATGACCCGTAAGCAGACGAATTACGGTTCCAATTCTGATCTTATTGAGTTTCTGGAGATTGCTCGTTCACCTCCTGTTCAGTACTAGCCCCAACAGAAATTTCGCTTGCACTCCTACTCTAATTTTTGACCAATATGTTTCATTTCCCTTTCGACCCCATATTTCTAAAGTTCCTTTAACCAAGCACGGCGTTATTGTCACTACATCTCGGAACCTGTTTTTGCCAAGAAGTCAACTCTTTTATTTCTCTTAATCCCTGAGTGATCCGGTATCCAGATCAATGAAAGTTTATTTGCTGAACCCAACTTATCCAGTACGCTACTGCATTTCCAGACGAATTTCGATTCTATTGTGGGAATTCTCAGAGGCCCTAGGGCCGCCTGACTATCCACACAAATATTAATCCTTTTTGCCCATTATTTCGTTTGCAATGCACATTTTAGCGTAAGATAAATTGCACAGACCTCAGCTTTCCAGGCTGTGGTATATTGTCCAAATGACTCAGACACGTTAATGCAGTAATTTTTTTGGTAGACTCAAAAACCAGCACCGCAGGCCATCTTGGAGCCGTCCGTATATCATACTTCATCTCCAAGTGGAAAACACTTCTTTCAGTCTATTCTGGAATTATTATAGCGATGTTTAAATTTCACTATTTTGATTATTCTATCCTGCACCATGTAGAGGTTCTTCCACCTGTTTGAAGCCCAACGCAGTGTGGTTTTCATAGCCCCTGTAATAGCTCTGAAAACTATTGCTTGGAGTTGGCCTAGTTTCTCTTTTACTATAATCAGTTGAGTCGTAGACCACCAAATAATCACCGCATGTAGAATCAGTGGCGGATCCAGACAAGTTTTATTTGGGGGGGGGCATCCATTCAAAAAAACTCAATATAATGTTATCTCTTTCTATCTCAAAGGAATATTTGACTCTTGGGGGGCCAAGCACCCGTGTCCCCCCTGGATCCGCCACTGTGTAGAATTCAAGGTTTTAAGATAATCTGATAGGGCCAATTGACCATGTTAGGTCTCAGTCCCCACGATGAACACGCCCCAAAAACAGTACAGAACCTTCCATACTGATAGGGTAAAGTGCGGATAGATGCACCTCGCAGATAGATGCCCCCTTTCTCAGATCTACAATATGAAAGAAACTATATTTATGGATTATTAGTTTTTTTATACCTATTGGCCATAAAAATTTTACTATAAAGTAAAACCCTATTTAAAATGTTCTTCCGAACTCGGCTTTTTATTCAGGATTACTTCCAGGTACTTAGCGATTCAGACAAAGAAATTTCTTTTTAAAAAATATCAGAATAGTTTTTAAAAACGTAATGGTCAATTACCTAAGATCGAAAAATTTTGAAAAAATTAAAAAATCACAATTAAAAATATTTACCAAGACAAAGCTTATCCTATGAGCTGAAATAATTTTCCTAGAGCCGACAAGGGTCCTGGTGGCATGTGGACTAACTAGAAAATCCAATTAGTAATTATTAAGAATAGATATATCTTCGTCCTTTTCTTACTAATTGAATGTTCTAGTTAGTCTACATGACACTAGGACCCTTGCCGGATCTAGGTATATTATCTTAGTTGTGAAGAAACAATATCAATAATAATTGTTTTAATTTTACGATCTCTATGGTATTATTACACTGTCTTGATACTTTAGTGAACAAGAATGTTGCCTTATCTGGTGACTCCACTGTATCTTACAGTTAACATATCTACTTAATTCATATGTAATTAAGCTGCGCTTTAGTGTATATGACAATTATAAAAAATTATATTAGATTCACGAAATAAATGAAAGTAATTAATTTTTTAAGATTACTTGAACTAATTCTTAATTATGAAATCGTGCAATTTTAAAAGTTCTGTTTAACAACAAAGTTATTAACCATGCACAATGTATTCAAAATAAATCCTTTTAACAAATTGGTTAAAACTTACACATCGTGCACTTTATAACATGCTGATTGAAAATTATAAAATCAATGTTTAAAGATTTATATATACATTGAGATAATGATAACCTTTAAAACATGTTCTGGCATAGCTACTTTAATTATTTTTAATTGTGAATTAACTGTAGTTATCTCAAAAATTACATTTTTGTAGAATTAAATCCAATTAAAACATTTGATCAGTATATTACAAAATACACGATACAAGAAGTTTAAACCTCGGAGCACACTCTGGATCTCTCGGATCCTGCGTTTTTTTATAAAAAATCATTTTATCTATACTATATTTTTAAAAAATTCTATAATTTAATCAGATGAATAGTTTGAAATTGATTGACCTTTGAAAAATGATTGAAAAAAGGTGTGTGCTCTGAGGGTATATATTTTAACAAAATTGAACTTTCCATTTTGTGAATTGTTTTTTCTTAATTGAAACACTAATCCAATATTTTGCAACAATGAATTCATTCATTACGACGCCTTTCCCAGGTGGGAGATGCAGGAGAGGCGAATGATGCTAGCAGCAGCGGCGGCTGCAGCATCGGCAACCACGGGAAACTTTGGCTTTACTGAAACGTCAGCAGGCATTGGAACAGGGACGGATGCGTGTCGTACCAACATTCCCTGTACTGGATACTATCTTCTTTCATCTGAAGCTAGACAAAGATTAGCCAATACCGTTCCCGAAGTTGGAAGTGAAGCCACAAGTCCTTACGAGCCAACAACTCTTCTTCATCCTGGATCGTGGAATTTCACCGGACTGGGAGGAACTCCTTACATTTCCCAATTACCAGCCTATCCTCATTCATCATCAGCTTCCGAATTAACTGAAAGAAGACGGAGCATTCCATCGTTAACACTGGGCGAGAGTGAGTCGACCATTTGTTCCTTAGCAAGGGATGTCGAACCCTTCTCAGAAATTTCCTATGAGGCTGGGTACTATCATCGAGAAAGACCTGACGAAGAATCCTCTATCTCAACTTCCTCGAGATTGGAGGCTCTTTATTCAGACACATCAGTGACAAATTTATCTAGTAATTTCGCATCAAGACTGTCTCCTGGCTTTGAATCTTCTCCGAGTAATGTTAGTCAACAACAGAGAACTCCCAGGACGAGTCCCACTCTTGAAGTTATATCTGTTAGGCATTCAAATATTAGTCCCTCGAAGCAAGTGGGAAAGAAGACAAAAAAACCGTTTACTATTGAGAATATCATTGCACCTGACGAAGAAGAAATATCTTTAAGAAAGTCGTTCGAGGTTGTTGAGATTAAATCAACAACTCCAATGAGAATGCCGAAACCATTGTATACTGCAGGATACCCTTTACCTTACGGCGCTACCACGTAAGGTGTTGATCTTTCGAATAAATGAAAAATTTATAAATAAAAATTTTAATGAATAAGTGGGGAGATTTTTAGTACGAAGGCTTACGGGCTATTGTTGATCTTGTGCTTCTGTAGAAAATTATTTTAATTATCTCTTATATACTGAGTACGTAAAGAACTTTACCAAAATATATAGTGAGCAATATTCTTTCGATTACATATTGTTGTTGGCATTTTAGTGAATAAAATTAGTCATTGGAAGTTAGATCAGTAAAATTAAATTAAAAACTAGCAATTATTTCACTTAAAAACCAATCCTCGTTCATGGTTTAACTGTTTAGTTTTAAAGTACAAAAATGCACACGGAGAAAATTTACTCAGTATGTTTTACAAAGAAAGGTCAGTAAAAGTTGAACGAAGTGGCATTTCAATAAAGATCGTCATTCATTAATCTTTGCATCATTTCCTTTTACTTTTTAAATTTTTCTTATTTATACCAGAAACCCCATTTAGCAATCAGTTTGGTTCTTGTTCGTTAAATCAGAGGCAGATCACTAAAATTACAAACTTACAGATGCACATGAATTACAAGACTAAGGGGCTAAGTTAATGTATACGCTACTAAAAGCAGGTGATATTTCTCAACTGAGTCTCTGAAAGTTTGGTAAATTAAGAATCACTAAATAGGGACTCTAGTGTATTATAAAAATCCTTCTCGACTTAAGAAGAATGGAATGAAAATTTAAATAAAGTAAGTCAAAATTATTTTTACTGTTCTATAATAAAGCTGGTCTCGATGGTCTCGCTGGTCAAGGATTACAAAAAAATTAATTTTCTATTCTTTGGCTTAAAATGTACCTTAGTGTCATAGAAGTACTGTTACAAACCATTTTTTAAAAAATATGCAAATGAAAAAGTTATAGTAATTTTTATGACCGAGTCTTAACCCTTAAAGCGCACACTTACGAATCCATCCTTAAACCGCACACTGGGTGTGCGACACCCAGGGACTTTTAAGTGTGTTCTTTAAGCTGGAATAGGATATTATCTTTTGGAAAAATTATCTTATGTAGCTCAGTACATCTATTTTGAAGGAAAATAGTTTTCATAATGATTTATTTAATTTGAATAATTAAAAAAGAGTTTTTTAAAACTACTGAAATTACCTTAAACCAAAAACTGGGTGTCAGACAAGCAGAAATTTTTCGTCGTCAACTTCATAATGTTATCAAATACACAGAGACACTTGACAGACTAATATCACTCACGAAACATAAAGTTAAGTACAAAATGTACTGTCCAATATCAACACATGTTCAATTTTTACGAATTTAAATGAGATATTAGAGTAAAAAGCTAGAATATGGGTGTCGCACACCCAGAGTGCGGTTTAAGGGTTAATCTACTTTAGTACGTTATAAAAAAATTTAAACGGTTTTTTCTCGAAAACATATTTTTGAAACTGGGGAGACACTATATCATTGAAATTTACAGAACCTCTCTTCCATAGGAATTTGGAATTAATTTAGTGCTCTAACATAGCTCTATTTTTTTTTAAATCGCCCTTATCTGACAATATGAGGAAATAGACAAAACTCAACAAATTTTTAATATTATTATTTTTTTATTTATTATGAATTCAGTAATTTTTGCGGAACTGGAGTTTACATGTCCTTAAAATACCCCGTTAAATAATAGTAATTTTTTAGCTTTAAATCTAAAAATGTTATTTCTTTATGCAAATTTAACATAAATACAACTTTTTAAGTTAATAATATAAATTTGAAGTAAAATCGAAGTAAAAATGTGAATAAAAATCCATGAAAATGTAAACTCCGGTTTCGAATAACAAAATAGTGGAGATTATATTACAAAAAAATATGGTTTAGATTAATTGGAAAAAGTTTGAAAATAATTTTTATAGTTATTAAATAGGGAACAGAGAGGAAGCAAAAGTGACCGCAGAGTGAAGAATCACCAATATATACCAGTAACATCAACCTTACATTAAATTAAGTGTTGACACCATTTGTGACGCGATATGAAGAAAGGGACCTAAGAAGAAAACGAATTATAGGTTATGTTTACGGCATATTTACCTTGATTAAAAGTTTCTTTTAGTTTCTTTAAAATTAAAATGAGATTATTGAATATTTAAGATGTAATAAACACTTACACATCATTGGCTTGTTTTAAAGTTGGATTCTCTTTTTTTTTTTTTAATTCAAATTTTTAAAACGTGATCTATAATTTTTGTCTTCCAGGTCCCTTTCTTTATATCGCGTCACATTTACTTCACTTTTCCTAAAATTTAATTCATTAAACTTTTAAAATATAAATATTTTAATTAAAATTATGTAGCGGAGATTTCTTTTGAGGTTGCAAACTTGCAAGTTCCTACAGGGAGTAATAGGAACAATTGAGGGTTTTTATCAAACATTAATAGAAAGTTCTCTATATTATAAAAGAATTATCCCGTTACTCTAGAAATTGTCTACTAACTTTACAGGACAACTGGCAACTTGAGTAGAGAGAGTAATAATTTAATTTATAATTTTGAATAATACGCATATATTCAATAAAATAAAAAAAATTGTAGAATTAAAATTTATAGAATCTTCCACTCAAACATCCATACTTTATATCGCGATTTACATTTGTATTTTATATATTTTTACTTTCTTTTATTATAACAAAATTTATGAAAATTGTTCCTGTATTTTTTATGCCTATTTTTCCTCAAAAACTTTATGATAGTAAAATAACAGACACAAAAATAATAATTTGTGAGAGAAATGTGGAGTAAAAAATTTTTTAATTATCTTATTTCATGTGAAACAAAAGTTAGTTTAAGTACAGCAATGGACTACACCGTGATGATACAAATGGTTGTAACAGAGCAAGCCAGACGCAATGACGTCAAATATGAATTCTCAATTGATTCCTTTTGGTTCTGTAGAAAAACTAATTTGTTAATAGACAAAAAAATCATTCTTAGTCATGAAAGTAAATCTATTTTAATGCTGAGAATGAGAAAGAGAAGGGCAATGAAATATGTGCTTCCTTCCCTTATTCATTCTTCACGATGAACACCAAAAAACAGTTCCATAACTGTTACAGATTTGTTCCATATCTATATGTCTTCCTAAAGTTGTAACAACCCCTGTTACAAGTTTAGGAAGACATAGATATGTAACAAATCTCTAACAGTTATTGAACTGTTTTTTGGTGTTCATTGAGTTACTATTAAAATTATTTAAATTTTTGTAAAAATAATAATAACTATAAACATTCCCTGGCTGATTAGATTTACCTAATGTCTACCCAACTGGGCAGTAAACGTTTAGAATAGATATAGGTGAAACGAAAAAAGTACATAAATAATCTAAAAATTATGAAAAACACTTTTGTAATTGAGAAATGAACTATTCAAGAGTTCAATAAGAGTTTATTAATAATGATAAAACTGAAATGAAAAATCTGTTAATTCAACCATGCGCGATACTCGTAGCAGACTGCACCCGGCCAAAAAACCGTGTACAAGGTCATACGTAAGAACTTATGCAAGAACATTGACAAGTACTTTGTACGAACTTACACACGTTCGGCCCAAGGATTTGGAACAATGAACCTATACAAGAATATGCAAATGTTCTTGCAAATATAACTCAAGATAACGAAAAACACGAGTTCTCTCTTGTATACTTGTACAAGATCGTGTATAAGTTCATGTATAATTAATAATATTATCTTATTATTGTCTTTTATTAACTTTTTTATTTATGCAAAATAGAAGGAAATTTTTAACATTGTCTTTAGTCACTCTCCACATGTACGATCTAAAAATAACTGCGCAGCTGCAGAAGCCATAGAAAACTACTGCGCAGCCTTTAAAGTTTTTAATTAAATTGTACAGGATCTTGCATATGAACTTATATATGATTTGTACAAGTTCATGAGTCTAATAGATAGTTTTACTTACTCTCGGTATGGACTCTTATGCATGTTCTAGCACATAATCTTTGTTCCAAATCCTTGGGCTGAACATACACAAGTTCGTGTGCAAGATCATCTTATCAACGTTCTTGCACATATTCTTACGTATGATCTTGAGCAAGGATTTTCAGCCGGGCAATCTAATTCTGAACGACGTAATGGGTGGAACAGAATTGGATTAACGCGCGAAGTTTTTAAATGGTGCCAAAAATTACTTCCTTAAATGTAAGAAGTACTATTAATAAATAAAAATTAATAAATAATTGAGGGCTCCATAGAATAAGGAAACGAGCGCGAGGTTAGGAAGAAAATAATACTTTGACTGGTATTATCCGTTCGTCCTTATCCTTATTCGTCGACCAATCCCGAGAATAGTGAACACTTGTGTGAAGATTGCCGAACGCACCTGAATACAGAACATAGAATAAGTTATTATTTTACATTACATCCAAGTTTTTAATATATAGTAAAAACCGTCAGCTAATTTATTTCTTGCAGACGAAATTATATAAATTATCGTCAAAAATTTTAAAAGTTTGTAAATATCCATCAAAAAACAGTCATCTTATCTTCTGGAGATAATTTTAAAGATATTATTTTTCAGTAATATAATTGTATGGACAAGATGAAACTCTGGGGGCTGATTCCGGATTGCACATTTCAAATTTTATATTCCGGATTCCACATATCAAATTCTACATTCTAAAATCCACATTTCAGATTCCTTACATTTGCATTATATTCCGGATTCCACATATCAAATTCTACATTCTACATTCTAAAATCCACATTTCAGATTCCTTACATTCGCATTATATTTCGTACTCCACATTTCAAATTCTACATTGCAGATTCCATATTCGGATTCCACATTTCGAATTCTATATTCCGGATTCCACATTTCAAATTCAACATTCCGGATTCAACATTCTAGATTCCAAGTTTCATATTTCAAATTTCGGATTCCACATTTAAATTCTATATTCTAGATTCAACATTTCAAATTCCACATTATAGATTCCAAAATCGAGATTCCTTAGATTTCTATTGTATTTTGGATTTCACATTTCAAATTCTATAT